GAACCGGCACAACGATGTAGTACCTACCATGGCACAGGGAGTGCTGGAGTACAAGGACACCTACGGCGATGACCCAGTCTCCAACCAGAACATCCAGTACTTCCTGGACCGCTTCTACCTCAGCCGCATCTCCATCCGCATGCTCATCAACCAGCACAGTGAGCTCTGGCCGCCTCGGAGAGGGCAAGGGGTCCTGGCAGGGCATGCCGGGAAGGGCCACCGCCCCTGACAGGAAAGCAGGGCTCCCCACGAGTTACTGGCTTAAGTCAGGTGTGGTAGCATATGCCTTTAATCTTAGCACCTGGGAGGCTGGGGCAGGAGGATCGTATGCTTGAGGCCAAGCTTAGCTACATAGTGAGACTTTGCCTCAAAAAAAAAAAAAAGTAAATATATAAATAAAAATAAGCCAGGCAGTGGTGGTGCATGTCTTTAATCTAGCACTTGGGAGGCAGAGGCTGGTGGATGTCTTGAGTTTGAGGCCAGCCTGGTCTATATAGTAAGTTCCGAGACAGCCAGGGCTACACAAAGAAACCCAATCTCAAAAAAAAGGGGGGGGGGCTGGAGAGATGGCTCAGCGGTTAAGAGCACTGGCTGTTCTTCCAGAGGTCCTGAGTTCAATTCCCAGCAACCACATGGTGGCTCACAACCATCTGTAATGAGATCTGGTGCCCTCTTCTGGCCTGCAGACATACATGCAGACAGAGCACTGTATACATAATAAATAAATAAGTAAATAAATAAATAAATCTTTAAAAAAACCAAACTATACATTTAATAAGGTGTGATGTGGGAGAAGCCTATAGAAGGACTGCTTAGGGGTATAGAGGCCGTAGGAGGCCTGAGCTGGGGAAAGACCGGACTTGAGGGTCATGGTTAGCATGGAGTGTACCGAGGCTTACAGATGAGGCTTGGGAAATCGGAGGGTTAGGCCCTGTGAACTAACCAGCAGTGTCCTTTCTGTCTCCACAGCCCTCATCTTTGATGGAAGTACCAACCCGGCTCACCCCAAACACATTGGCAGCATTGACCCCAATTGCAACGTGTCTGATGTGGTGAAAGGTGAGCCCTCCCACCTCCCACACCATAGACCTGGCCCATAAAGGAGCTCCAGGGACCCTTCCCATATAACCTGGACAGAGGGTGACCCATTCCCAGTGGGTAGGGGCATGTCCCCATGGGTTTCATGTTGGTGATGCATTATGGGCCAGCCACCCATAACCTGAGTGGTTCCCTCTCCTCCCAGATGCCTACGACATGGCCAAGCTCCTATGTGATAAGTATTACATGGCTTCACCTGACCTAGAGATCCGGGAAATTAATGGTAAGCAAATGAGCTGATGTGTGTGCATGCGTGATTGTGTGTTTGTGTTTATGTGTGTGCGCGCACAAGCGCGTGCATGTGTTTCAGAGCACTGGGGACAGGCTAGAGCAGGGGAGCTGGAGGGTCAGACTCCCCTAGAAGGGAGCTGTTCTGTATTATTAATTTGCTGGATAACTGCTTTTCATTTGACACGTGCATCATGTAAAGAAGACAGGCAAGCTCTTGCCCTCGCAGAGCTGACGTCCTTGGTACTGGGGAGGTCGGGACCTATGGCAGTTTACTACTGAGCATGCAAATCCACCAGCTAATTTCAAAGCCTTGTAAGTGATAGGCTGATGTCTTCGTCCTTGTGCGAGAACAAGGACGTTCTTTGTAAGTGAAGGACATGATGTGGGGGTCAGAGGACAGAGGCCAGGGAGAATGACGTGTGAAGGGACACCTCCGCAGACCGCAGTGGCTTAATTAAGAGATGCTTCTGGGTGGCCAATACCTGCATTACTAGCTACGGCAGCTTGGAAGGTGCACAGCCACCTGTTAGGTACAGCTGTGGGGGGAGTGGTCTGGAAGGTGCACAGCCACCTGTTAGGTACAGCTGTGGGGGGAGTGGTCTGGAAGGTGCACAGCCACCTGTTACCCATAGCTGTGGGGGGGAGTGGTCTGGAAGGTACACAGCCACCTGTTAGCCACAACTGTGGGGGGGGGTCTGGAAGGTACACAGCCACCTGTTAGCTGCAGCTGGGGGGGAGGTCTGCTCTGAAGGAACAAGGGCTACAGGGTCGCCCTGTCGATAAGATTGTGGACCCTGCTGTGCTTCTGTCCTTGGTCTTGATTCCCGCAGCCACCAATGCCACCCAGCCCATTCACATGGTCTATGTCCCCTCCCACCTCTACCACATGCTGTTTGAGCTCTTCAAGGTAAGAAGGCTGCCCTTCTGAGGGGAGACTGGGAGGGCCAGCCCTAGGCCCTCAGCTTCAGCAGCACTTCCCTTACCGTGTCCTTCATTCCCTCCCCAGAATGCCATGCGGGCCACTGTGGAAAGCCACGAGTCCAGCCTCACTCTCCCCCCTATCAAGATTATGGTGGCCTTGGGTGAAGAAGATCTGTCCATCAAAGTATGGGACCCTCAACTTGGGAGGCCATGGGGATTAGGGTGAGGAGTGGAGACTGTAACCCTGGAGGGCATCTCACGTGTTCCTTGTCTCCCAGATGAGTGACCGAGGTGGGGGTGTCCCCCTGAGGAAGATCGAGAGGCTTTTCAGCTACATGTACTCCACAGCCCCCACACCCCAGCCTGGCACTGGGGGTACCCCACTGGTGAGATGGCTTCCTTCTGCCCCCTTGGCTCCTGCTCTCCTAACTCCCAAGCATACTCCACCTCCACCCATGACTGTGTGGTGACAGTCCTGAAGCCAGGCCTTCCATCTCTCCACTGCTTGCCCCCTGCCTGCTGATAATCTCTCTGCCCATCCGTCCATCTGTCTGTCCACTGAGCTGTCACTTCTCCCCAATGCTCTCTCTTCCCTCTTTTTTTCTGAATTGCTAATTGCTAGCACTTTTGTCCCAACTCCTGTGGAATAGGCAGCGTGGGCTTAGGGAAGGGGCTCAGGCCTCTGGGTCGAGCTCTCCTTTCCAGCTTCCCTCTCTACTTCCTCTGAAGTTCCCCTGCCTACCATCTACCTCCGTCTGCTCCAGAAATGTCCCTTCCTCACCCGTGCCCCAGCACCCCTGCCTGTCCCTAGCTGGGCATCCCTGGCTCACTTTATGACCTGTGACTTAACCTGCAGGCTGGTTTTGGGTATGGACTCCCCATTTCCCGTCTCTATGCCAAGTACTTCCAAGGGGACCTGCAGCTCTTCTCTATGGAGGGCTTTGGGACAGACGCCGTCATCTATCTCAAGGTGAGGCCCATTGAGGGCAAGTTTGCTGCTAGCAGGTTTTTACCCATCCCTCATCCTGGCTCCAGACTCTGAGCTAAGCCTTGGCTCCTCAAGTGTTGTAACTTTAAACTAACATGGTAGGGAATGTCAGGGGTCCAGGGTCTGTGAGTAGGACCCCTCTTCTGGGGACTCAGGCTGGAAGAAAGAGGGGCTTACAGATCTTGGCCTTCCATGGAGTGGGAATGTGCCTTGGTGAAAGATAGAAACCACACAGCCCAACCTCCTCCCTCTCTCCTTTGTCCTTTGAGGAAACAGCTGTCTGGAATGGACCAGAGCAAAATGCAGAAAGTTCAGACCCTTTAGGGACATTTCTAGGTCTGGGGTACCTGTCTCAGCTAGTGTCTGGTATGGGGCTGACTGAGACGTGGGTTAGGATGCCAAGGGCAGAGATCATCAGGGCCCAGGTGGGAAAGTGTGAGGAGTGGGGAGCAGGAGGCTGATGGTAGTGCTCCCTAGGCCCTGTCCACGGACTCAGTGGAGCGTCTGCCTGTCTACAACAAGTCTGCCTGGCGTCACTACCAGACCATTCAGGAGGCCGGTGACTGGTGTGTGCCGAGCACAGAGCCCAAGAACACATCGACGTATCGGGTCAGCTAGGGGCCTTCTCTCCCTGGCTCCTGGGAGGATGCTGCCACCTCTGAATCCAGCCACCACAGGGACCTTCCCTATCCCCTGGGGTACAGAGGGTGAAGCTGGGTCTCCCTAATGGCCAGGTCTGTCTTTGTAGGAATCTCAGTGACCCATCTGTGGTGGTCCCTAAGTGCCAATCTGTCTCTATGGAGAAACCTAGGGTGTTTCTCTGGAGTCTGGTCTCCATGGTGATGCTTGAGGGTTGGGGATGGCTCTACCTATTGGGTGCCCCAGAGACACTTCTCCATGGCAGTTCTCCCAAGACCAGAGCTGTCAGTTTTCTACCAGAGACCCCAGGTCCCCCTCACTGCCTGCATAGTCCTGGCCTTCCAAGTGGCTGCTCCGCTTGCCTTATGCCCACGCTCCGGACAGGTATACTGGGATGTGTCCTGTGTCCGTGTTAAGAAGGATGGAGTGCCCTCAGGTCTGGAGAGAGGATGGAGGGAAGGGTGCACCCTTGCCCTGGTCCTGCAGCCTCTCTCTGCCTCTACTCTGGACACCAAGGCTGCAGCTGGGAACTTGAGAGTGGGTGGTGGTTTTCACCCAAGGCCCATGTCTAAATTAGTAGCACCTGGGAAAGCCCAGCAGTAACCTGCCCCACCAGGATTCCAGGACGATCTTGGCAATATTTGTGCCACTTCTTAAACCCTTGCCCAGCATGTCCTCACATGCACTCCCCTGCCCAGTGTACACCCACCCTATCTTGCCTGCGCTTTAGACCACCCCCCCCGTGCCCACCATGTGTGCACAGGTGACCCATCCCTAAGATATCCTATGTACATAGCCAGTTTTGTAAAATCTCAGATGCCTCCCCCTTCCCCTCAGCACACAGGGGTTAAAGCTGTGTGCCCCTCCCAGTGGCTGGGATGATGACAGTGACATTCACAGTAAACAGATGAAATCACACTGTTGTCTGGCTGTCTTGCTGTGGGAGGGTGAGTCCACACACACACACACACTTGTGAAGGCTGGTCCTCCAGGGCCAGCTGTACCCATGACCCAGCCTAGTACAGCACAGGGCAGAGTCATAAGCTGGCAGACGGCTGCCCAGTGGTGCTCAAGGTAGAGCTTAGTCCCTCGTCCCAGACAGAAACCTCACTGGTGTATGGTAGGTATTTATTGAAAGAAGTTGAGAACCATCTTCCCCTTCACATGCAGGTGGGGCACACTTGGCTCCTGACAGCTTTAGGGACAGTAGGGCCTCCACCCTCCCCACCCAGTCTAGATAGATAGTCTAGATGCCAATGCCCTTATACCTTAGTTTCCCTCTGAGGCCCCTCTCCCAGTGCAGATGACTGAGCCCAAGCACAGGGCCCTGGCCTTCAACTGCTTCCCCAGGCAGGAGAGAGGGAGTTAGCATGCAGGTCCTGTCCACCCCTCCAGGAAGCTGGGAGGGGTGGAGGTTTCTCCTCAGAAACCTCCTGGGCCCAGCAGTAACTGACCAGCACCTGAGAGGCTGGGTCAGCACGGCACCTGGGACCCTCCATCTCTGAATGTGTCCTACAAAGGACACGTGCCAGACCCACCCAGGGCTGGCCCAGTCCTCCCTGTGACCTAGCAAACCTGAGCTAGCAATGTTTGTCAGTTCTAGGCCCACTGAGACCTTGACACACCCAGGGAACCTGGGAGCTGATGGACCCTTCTGATGTAGCAGCTTCTAGGCCACCCTCCAAGTGTGCCCCTGCCCGGCTAGGGTGATGAAAGTCACCAGTTCAGCGCCTTCTAGGCACTCATGGGGAGAATGTCCTGTGTCCCCAACAGCCTCCATTTATCCTGTGCCCAGAGGAGGCTGAAGCACTCTGTGAAGAAGTGGATTCTAGTTCTGTGACCCAGTGGGAGAGGAGCAGTGTCGTCCCGCCCACTAGAACCTACAGGGTAGTGAAGGGGAAAGAGAAGAGCCCCCTTGTCCCCGCTCTGCAGCCCTTACAGAGGCCAGCTTACCCTCCACTGCCCGCTCCTCTCTCCGTTGAGGAGGTGTCTGAGAATCTACCCTGAGTGCCCACCGGCCTCTCTGAGGAGAACTGCTTTCCCACCACACAGCCACCTTCAAGAGCTGAGGAGACACAGCCCTGTCTCCTGTCGGGATGCCCAGGCTTCTCTCTAAGCCTAGGAATCCTGGTCATGGAGGGCCTCTCCTGCCAGCTTACTTCCTGTTCAGTACCACTGTAACCAGAGGGAAGAGGTTCTGCTTGAACCAGGTTCCTCTGGGCTCCAGATTTGCTGCATTCCTGGCCTCTGCCCTCATCATCTGCCACCTGCTTCCCCCTGGAACTCTGTGCCAAACAAGTCCTCGAAACTGGGTTTATTACTGGGCCTTCTCCCTGGGATCTCCTTCCAGAGGACTTGGTTCAAACAGGGTGAGAGGGGTCATGTGCCCCAAGAACCTGGTGCCTAGACCCGACTTCCCTGGTGAGGCCCGTGCAGGTGGCTGCAAGTGCACCAGGGTTCCAGCCCCGCCAGCCATTCCTAGCTCTTCTTGGCCTCATGCTCACGGCGCCGCAGCTTCTCCCGCTGCCGTGCAGTCTTCTCCTGTGCCTTCCGTTCCTTCTCAGCAGCCGCTGCCAGCTCCTTCAACTTCCGCTTCACCAGTGCCCGGTCATGCGAGTTGCTAAGCCCCAGGCTCTGGGAAGAAACCCAGAGTGAAGGAAAGAGGCCCAGAACACTCCTCCCATGCACTCCCTGCAGCCCCTCAAGTCTGCTCCGAAGTATGGCCTTTGCCTAGGGATTAGCTAAGAGGAATGGGTTGCAAGTGGCCATAGAGATTACAATGGCACTAAGCCATTTATGCCCCATCCTTGACTCTGGATCCTCAACCTAGGTGCCATGACCCTACCCAATACCCTGAGGCCCTCAAGATGGAGAATGATTTGCTCAAGGTCCCACTGCAAGACGGCAAGGTCTCTCCCCACTCGCTATGGGATTGGTCTTGAAACCCAGGAACGTCCAAGCGTTGGAAACCACCTCTCTTCACTGTAAGCCTTAGCACACTCCTGTCACCAGGCTCTGAGACTGAACATGGCATGGAGCTGGCCAGGGAAGAGGCCTGCCTTTCCAACACGGGATGGTAGTCCAAAGGGTGAGGTCAGACTGGAACTAGAAGGTCAAATGGAAGTGATGGATTTGAGTTTAAGTCAGACTGGGGCATCATAACTACACTGCAAAGACTGGACCAGACCCTTGCCTAGAGGTCAGAAGCCAGGTCAGTGGCCAGACAGAGAGAGGCAATCCCAGATCAGTTCAGGAGACAAGTAGGCCAAAAGTCAGGACAAAGGGGAGGCGGTCCTTATGCTTTAAGGCTACCTCAATCTGGCTAACCTTGCACTCCGACCTACCTTCAGTTTGCTCCCATCCAGCTGCAGGAGCTGCGGCCCATCCACCTGACGGGCAGCAAACTCAGCGGCGTACTGTTCCAGGTTGAGGCTGCACAGCCACTGGCCCACCTGCTGGCTAGTCCAGTGTTGTATAGTAGGGAGGGACTCGTCCAGGAACTGTGGTAGAGATGGGGAGGGTTAAGGGAGCCCAGTCTCTTGGCCAGGTCCCCAGCAGGAACAAGGCCTAGCTTGGCTCACCTCATCTGAAGACTGGGACAACGTGTGGTAAGGATAGGAGCACTTGGTCTCCTGTCGAGGACCACTGGGGATCTTGGGGCTGCTGCTGGGAGGTGTGGAGTCATCACTCAGGGTGGATTCCTGAACAGAGAGGGATGTGTGCTGAGGCTCAAGTTCACTCTCTGCCACTCCCGAGCCCATCACTCTGACCAGACGGAGCTGAAATACTGGACTAGCCACCAGCAGTTGGTCCATGCTCCTGATTGTGAGCCCAGAACTAAGCAGCCAGACAGAGGCTGTGACCCGACTGAGACCTGAGCCCTCTAGGGGGGAGCTGGCTACCTAGAGGACATGGCACTAGCGTTAAGTTGGGCAGAATAATTAACAGGAGTGGAGGAGGCTAGGTGCTGCTGCCTTCGGACGGCCCTCCAGGATTCCCCCAAGGCTGTGTCCTGTGTGCCTCTCCTAGGCCTCTCGCATCCTGACTGGCGGGTACCCTTAGTGGCCTTGGGTCTCTGGGAGGACTTGGGCTGTGTTTCACTCAATGTGTGTCTCCTGGGACCAGCACAAAGGGAGGGGCTGAGGGAGGATGTAGGGGTGGTTAAAGAACAAAGCTGCACATCAGAAGGGTCTCTCCCCTGAACCCCACGATTGATGATTCTCCTAAGCCCTGGCACCATACACATCTGTGGGCAAGTCCCTTTTCTCTGGACCTCATCTGCCCATCTGTACAGTGCAGATACTAACGCCTGCCTTGCCTGCATCACAGTTAAAGGCACACATGTATCCTGGGCTCTGTGAAGTATTTAGCAGTCTGGGAATGTAAGGGGACTTTAGTATTGCTGGTGTCGATGGTTCTCATTTCCTGGGGTCTGAAGCTTTCAGAGCTCTAGGCATGGGTCCTGTCCATCTCTCTATCTCCAGAACTTCCCACCATGCAGGAGGCCAGCTTTTGATGGTGCAGTCCAGACCTGACTCAAGCAGAACAGTAAGAAACAAGGGGCCCTGGGACGGAGTGAGCAGTGGGAGCTCAGTGTTCCCACAGGAGCGCTGAGAGCAGGAAAGCAGTGTGGACGGTCATGAATGCTGAGCCAATGAATGAACGAAACCAAGAGAGAAGATGGAAGTCGTGAATGAGTAGGTGGCTCTATGGAGCAATGTGAAGGTCCCAAAAAAAACCTCTGTCCCAGTCCAAGCCCTGATGAAATATGCCCTTGTTATGACCCTGGAAGCCAGTGTGGAGTCCTGGGGTTACACACTGGCAGGATGGCACACTCATGTAGCCCCAGGCAGACTGGGCTACAGAGTAAAACTGACTCAGGGCAAAAAGATAGATGGAAAGGAAGGCTGGACGCTAAGAGGGAAGGAGAAGAAGAAGGAATAAAGACCTGGGCTTACCTGGGAAGCTGACTTCTTGGGGCTGAAGCCCTCATGTTTAGGGGAACAGGTCGGGGAGGTGGTGCTCCCTGAGGAAGCAGAGCCTTTGCCGCTGTCTGTGAACCAGGAAAAGGGCAGGAACGGGGAGCTCCCTGTCCTTCCAGAACCTTCTACGGATTCCCTGTGGAGAAAACATCCAGCATGGTGTGGTGTCCAGGGGAGGACAGGAGCTGTGGGTGGGTGCCATGGGTACCTCTCACCTGCTGCCCATGGACAGTCGGTTGCTACCCTTCTCCTTCCGGCTCTTGCCAGTGGACGCTCGGCGGAGAGTGACCCTGTAAGAAGGCAGGGGGAATGGAGCATACCTGCCCACTGTGATGCTCAGACCCCAGTTGTTCCAAGGACCCACGCAAGACCTGCCCCACTCACCCCAGGTCCAGGAATTTTCTGCGAGTCCTCTTATCCAAGCCGATGGTGGGGCTGGCAGGCTCAGGGGGGCTGGTATCCCGGCTGTCATCTTTAGGAGGAGAGGGGGAAGAAAACAGCTAAAGCGACGGTTTGCGGTTTGCTTGCCTCCTGCTGCTGCCCATGTGGGGTGGTAGACATGTCTTGACTTAGAATTAGGCCATCTGGCTCCGGGGTTCTTCATTAGCTGTGTGACCCAGGAGACGGCACTCTCTCTGTTTTTGAGTTCGCCTTCATTGCAAACATAGAGACATGCCCATTTTACAGTATCTAATGGGAGCCTAGGCTTTTACCTTTTACAAACTGTAAAAACACTTTACAACTGAGGGGGGGGTAGGCCTATTAATGTTTGTTAGTTCATTGGTTCGTTTATTTTTGAGACAGAGTCTCAATGAAACCCAGGTTGGCCTGGAACACCCTATGTGGCCTTGGTCTCCTGATTCTCCTGTCTTCACCCCCTGGGTACTGGAATTACCAGAGCACATCACAGTATCTTGTATGCCATGACTAAGGCTTCCTGTATGCTAGGCACATACTACTGACTTTATCTTGGTCATCTTCTACCCATCCTTTCAATCTTGGCTCAAGTGTCACCTCCACTCCAGCAACTGTGCATAGCTTTTATTACAGTTTGTAACTATATGTTAATTACAGGATGGTTTGGTTGTTTCTTTCCTAAGCTACACATCCCCAGAGGCCAAGGACTGTATCATTACTCTGTTTGGTCCCAGCGATGTCTGTGGCATAGTAAGCCTCTGTAAATGGAGAATGGAACCTGTTGGCCATCCTTCCATCTACCCTGTAGCCGCCATACCACCGGGCCAAGCTGCGGTTCCCATGCTCGCCGGCAGGGGGCATCGCGCCTGCGGGCTCACCTTCACTGTGCGGTTCTGCTCGGGCATAGCGGCGCACGAAGCTGGGGGAGCTGTCCGAGGAGGGTGCGGAGCACGGAGGCGAGCCAGAGGTGGCGGCCAGGCCCTCATGCGAGGCAGCGTTGTGCAGGGGCCGGTAACGGGCGAGGGGCGAGGGCGGTGGCTCGTCCTCATCCAGGCTGCGCCGCAAGCCGGGGGGCTCCAGGCAGAAAGAGCCGCTGGCGGGGGAGCCTGGGCCCGAGTGCAGAGGCGAGCGCAGCCGGTGCAGCGGGCTACCGCAGCCGTCGGTCACCTGGAAGAAGGGCAGCCGCTCAACCAGCGCTCCCTGCCCTCACTCCCTGGAGGCTGGAGGCCAATTTCCTCTGTAGGCTATACGTGGAGCCCCAGGGGAGCTCGGTTTTCTGGGGCCTGGAGGGTGGGTTCCTTCGGCCCGGGGATGGGGAGTGCCTGAGCAGTGACAGGGGAGAAATGGCTGATCACATGAAGTGAAGACATACTGCTTCATTTGCTAACTGTGGGACTTCCCAAACCCTTGTGCTCTCTGCTTCTTCATCTTTAAAATGGGCTAATATCTTTTCTGCAGAGGGACAGGAGCCAGAAGTGAAAAGCTAGCTGACCTTTGGGTGGATGACTGTTGGGTCTCTGGGGGCACACTCCCCTGGAATTGGGGGGCGGGTGTGTGTGTGTGTTACCCCAACCTTGCCTCCGGGCCCATCGGAGCCTTCCCCATCCTCAGCAGAGCTGGCACTGTCTCGTAGTCTGGAGCGGGAAGGCCGGTGTCTCCGGCCCTTGGCCAGCAGCTGGGCCCGGGCTTTGTGTAAGCTGCTGTCCAGTCTGGTGGTCTCTGGTACAGCCAAGTCCAGGTCTGCAAACAGAGACCAGAGCCACCTCAGATGACCACCCTGACTCACACCCCAAGCCATTAAGCTGATGCTTGGTGGTGCCACTCACTTCGACAGTAGGTGAAGTTCAAGCCTCCTACAGGCTGGCTTCCCAGCCCCACCTGCCAGTGCCTGCACATAGCACAACTGCCTGGCCCTCCTGGGGGCACGACTGGCCTCTGTGCAGACACACCATGGGGGTGAGAGGAGGCATGCCCACCTGGATCCTACGGTCTGAGTGAGAGTTGGCAAGCGGGTGGGAAGTAGGGTGTAGAGATGGCACCTTTAGTTCTGTGGGGACCAGGGGAATGCATCTGCCATGCACCCAATGTGATACACGCATCGCATCATTGTCCTCAGAGCTACCTGGAGAGGGGAGGCTACGGCATCCAGGACACATTTACAGCTGAACCAACTAGGCTCAAAGAAAGCAAGTCACAGCTGGAGCCACTGGCTACTAACAGTCTGGGGTTTGGGTGTGGCTCCAGAAACAAACCCCCCTGGGGACCCCATCTTGCTGTGCCACATTCAGGGCCGTGTTCAAGGACAGCAGTGTTAATGCGTATGAAAAGTCCTTGGTTGAAGTGAGGAAGGGGACACCCAGACACCAGTGTCAGTACCCGGAGCAAAGTTCCCACGGGTCCTTCAAGCTTGTCTCGGGTCCTGGGCTCTACAGCCCAGTGCTAGGCCCTGTTAGAACCTGGAGGAGGTGTAGACACATCTCCTGGGTGTGGGCAGAAAGCACCAGGTCACAGTTTTGCTTTTTGTTCGCCTGCCTGGAAAGAAAGCATCACTCTTGTTCTGGCCTTGACCTTGGTACTGGGGTCTTCCTGGGCTTCAGGATGAGTCAATACGCTCCTGTTCGCCCCTCTCTTAGTATCTCTGCCCCCCCCCCCCCGTTCCATCCTTCACACCCACTCTTCTTGCCTGCTTCTCTCTCATCTGTAGACACCCCAAAGGTACCCCTACTCAATGGCCGCTTTGTCTATTCCCAACTCTGACTCCTCTACTAAATACCAAGCCTAAACACAAAAGCACCTACCAGGGAACCTACAAACCAGGGCCCCCTAGTGCCTTAGCCAAACACAACCGATAAAAGCACACCCATCGGAGTCCTTTTGCCTTTAATCTCAGCACTCATGAGGCAGAGGCAAAGGATCTCTGAGCTCAAGTCCAGTCTGGTCTACAGAGCGAATTCCAGGACAGCCAGGGCTACACAGAGAAACTCTGTCTAACACACACACACACACACACACACACACACACACACACCACTCATTGGCTTGCCTGAGATTTGTTGCCTCCAAGTTGGACAGCTGCGAGTTACCCTTTCCCCTCAGCCCTCCTAGACCCTGTTCCCGCATGGATAGTCAGCAGTGGCTACCTTTCCTCCCCCCCCCCCCCCCCGCCTCCACCATGGCTGGCCTCCCTATCTTGGTAAACAGTGGTTCCATCTTTATTGCTACTCAAGCTAAACCCTGTGTCTTTTTTGACTCCCCTTGCCTCCCTCTTGACCCCTTTCTTATAAATTAATTTAGCTGCATTCCTGTTAGCCCCACCCTCAAAATAGCTAGCCCTATTGAAATACAGAGGTGAAGCGTGAGACTGTTTTTTAATGATATTCAGGGCAGTGGAGATGAAGAATGGGAGGGGTGAAGCAAGTCTGACCAGGGGTTGACCGTGGTGGAGATGGAGTGACCAGAACTTGAGCACATGACAGGGTGCATTGTACTCTTTTTTCTACCTCTGAGGTTGTCTGAGGTTTTCATTTCTTTTTTACTATTATTTAACACACACTCTCTGTCTCTGTGTGTGTGTGTGTGGGGGGGGGGTGCATATGCATTTGAATGCAGATACCCTCAGAGTTCAGAAGAGGGTGCTATATCCCCTGGAACTGGAGTTACAGGCTATTGTGAGGTGCCTGACCCTGGGTGCCCAGAACTGAACTCGGGTCCTCTACAAGAGCAGTGCCCACTCTACAGCCCAAGCTCTTAGATTTTGTCAACAAAATATTGTTTATGAGTGAGTTTACACATGTATACCTGTGCACATACAGAGAGGAGTGGGAAAGAGATCGGGGGAGGGACGGAGAGAGGAGCACCAGGTCTAGGTTCCCATCTTCTCATGCCTGTTATTATAAATGGCCTCCTGTGCCCCTTTCCCACTGGGTGCCCTCCAGCACAGCAGCCAGAATGATCCTAACGCGAGGTGTCAGCTCTGTCACTCCCTGCTCAGAACCACCTCGTGCAGAGTCAGAGCTAAACCCACAGAGGCCTTCTAGATTTAGTCTGTGCTCCTGAGCTTCAGTCACCTCCCTGAGCTTCTGCCTCTCCCTTGTCCCCTCCTCCCACCCTTCCTCTTACAGACCCAGTTTGCACCTCAAAGCCTTTGCATGTACAGCGCCCTCCCGTATATACTCCAAGTTGTCAGTTCTGCCTTTTCCTGGATCACACACCACTCTCTGGCATCCTGAACACCTTGCTTATTGAAGCCTATGCCTCTTTCCACCTATTAGACTATCAGCTCCGAAAGGACAGGGTTTTCTGGGATGGTACCACGGGCACCTGGCAGCTCCTGGTGCACAGCAGGTGCCTGGTGAATACTCTAAAGAAGGGAAAAGGACAGGTAAGGAGCTATCCTGAATGGGCAAGGAAGTAAGAGTGACTAGGGCTACTGCCTCAGACTTATTTGGTTGCCAGGCTGAGGCCCGGATGACCATAAGGAGAGTTGGGGTTTTTCAAGACAGGGTTTCTCTGAGTAGACCTGACTGTTCTGGAACTTGCTCTTTCGACCAAGCTGACTCAGAGATCCCCCTGCCTCTGCCTTGTGAGTGCTGGGATTAAAGGTGTGTGCCACCACCACCACTGCCGGCCAGAATGAGGTTTTTTTTAGGAAAGGGAATGGTATCGTTCTGGGTTTGAGGTGTCAGGAACATGCAGAAACAGCCTGAATGAAGATGGAAGTAGACATTTGTCCAGGGATGTGGTGAGGGGCTGGGAGGTGACAGTTACTGTCAAGGCTGCTCTGTTGGATCCAGATGTGACTCACTTCATTCCTGATGAAGAACATCTTGGTGTCCCTGGAATTAGCCAGGAGCCAGTAACAGTTCTCACTTCTCGAAGTGTGTGTCACTGAAACGTCCTACAACCTTGGAGGAAGGGACTCAGGATCCCTAGGGCAGCTTTAATTTGCCTAAGAGCATAGAGCTGGCAAGAGCTAGTTAGGGTCAAAGACAGGCAGGCTGGCTTGTTAGGAAGTACCAGACATATTACTTGTGCCCTTTCTGAACAGAGAAGGAGGCAACCTTATGTCTAAACCCTCATTTTATGGGTGGAGAAACTGAACTCCAACAATAAAGGTTTGGTCAGTTGTATGGAAGGAGTAAAAGTGATAGCCAGGTCTGGGTCAGTGCTCTAACCTTCTCTCCATTACTGGTACCCAGCTGGTACCCAGCCATCTGCATCAGGGCGATAGATCCCTGCTCCACATGGCAGAATGGGCATCACCTGTGCTGGAGAGCAAAGGGTCTCCTGAGGGCTTGCGGGTACAAAGCAAGGTGGGGCCATTCTCACCAGGGTCCCTCAAACTCTCCTTCCATCTCTTCCCTTCCCTGCCTCCCCCTCTGGGCTCTGGGTAGTGAGAGAGATGAATATTTAATTGTTTTCCTATGAGGAAGCACTCCAGGCAGTGCCCAGCTACCTCAGCAGACGGGAGGAAAACAAGAAAGGATTGGTGAGGAGCATGGTGGGAAGACAGGAGACAGAAAAGCCCTTCCCCCACTAAGGGGAGCGCACCTCTATGGACCTGCCTGGACTTGTGTAGAGCCGGCCTCAGAGACAGGGAAATGCTGGGGGAGAGGGGGAGCTGGGAAGGAGCTGGGGTGGGGAGCAGTAGCAGAAGCATCAAGATAACAATACTGGAGTGACCAGCGCCAGCGGCCATAGCAAGAAGGAAGAGAGGAGGGAAAGGCAGAAAGAGATGGGAGGAAGCAGAAGCTGGAGCCCTGTGGCACCCCATGTTTAGGAGCCCCTTGGGGTTGCACACAGGAGTCACCCACTCAAATTCTGCAGGGGACAGCTTTTCCACAACACAGTCACAGAGTCTGCCATATGCATAGAAGCCAGAGGTTGATGGCCTCAATCCCTCTCCACCTGAGTTTTTGAGACAGGGTCTCTCGCTGAACCTAGAACTAGCTCATTTGGTTAGAATGGCTGGCCAGCAAGCCCCAAGAATCCTGTCTTCCCGTCCACAGCACTAAGATTACAGGTGTGCACGGCTGTGTCAGTTTCGTTGTATTTGAGACAGGCTCTCTGTATGCAGCCCTGGCTGTCCTGGAACTCTCTATGTAGACCAGGATTGTAGGCCCATATTTCTGTATGGCACAAGAGCCATTAGCTCCGTCTGAGCTGATCAAGTAACTCTGCAGACAAGCTGTCTCTGTTTAACAATAGCCAGGATGTGCTGCTCCTGGTTTCTTCTCGTCCACAGCACTAAGATTACAGGTGTGCACAGCTGTGTCAGTTTCGTTGTATTTGAGACAGGCTCTCTGTATGCAGCCCTGGCTGTCCTGGAACTCTCTATGTAGACCAGGGTGGCCTCAAACTCAGAGATTTACGTGTCTCTGGTTCCCAAGTACAGGGATTAAAGGCGTGTGCCACTACGCTTAGCTTGTGCCCGGTTTTTATGTGAGTGTTTAGGATTGAACTCAAGTCTTCATGCTATCATGCTACCTTTTTTTAAAAAAATTATTATTATAGTGTGTGTGTATGTGTGTGTGTGCATGATGTGTGAATGTGAGTGTGTATGTCACCATGCACACACAGAGGGCAGAGGATAACTTTTGTGGACCTGATTCTCTCCTTCATCCTTTATGTGGGTTAGGGGAACCAAACCCGGGTTGTACAGCTAGTGCCTCTATCTGCTAAGCCATCCTACCAGCCTCCATGTGATCTTCAAAGCAGGTCTTATCAGCACTCCGCATCCTACACCCCTTGTCTTTGAGAATCAAATGATACACTGCATGTGAGACCAGCTGCACACCATGCCCTGAAGTGCCCTATCTGTCCTTATCCCATGCCATGCCCAGTAGACTTGACAGAAGGGCTCCATGGCTAGGTCTAGTGCTAGACATGAAGTAACAGAGAACTTACCAAAAACTTCATCCACAGGTTCTCGGAGCTTTGAGGAAGCCATGACTCAAGAGAGCTGAGAAGAACAAAAAGGAGAGAAAGAAACCACGGATAAGAGATTCAAGTTGGTTGTGGTAGTGAAGAAGCCAGCAGCCTCCCGCTTCCGGCCCACCCACTGCATCCCCTAGAATTCCTCCTTTGGTCCTTGGAAGAGAAGCCTATGGGTGCCGAGGCAGGAGACACAAGCAGGAAAGCCATAGCACAGACTCAAGCAGCTCTTGTGAGCTGGGCCTAACTACTGGTTGTGACTTCACATTGCCTTAGGTACTCCAATGCACAAGGCCCTGCATTGCTTTGGGCCCTCCAATCGCTAGCATCCGGAAGCCTCCATCATCAACTGCCGAACATCAAATCTAGAGGTCATGGGGCTTATTAAATCCAGACCTGTCATTTTACACAGACACAGAAGAGGAAGTGGCTGGCCCAGCAATTAACGGCAAGTACAGATTTAAAACCAGGTTCTTCCATCCACTTGCCTACCTAGCTTTATCTGCTTTCCTTCCCTCCATCCCTCCCTCCCTTCCTCCCTTCTTCCCTCCCTCCTTCCCTACCCCATCCATCCAATATCCATTATATTTATGCATCTTCCCATCTTTACATCTACCCATCTTGCATCCATTACCCCGTCTGTCTTCCTCCTCCATCACTGGGGCCCCTCACCACCTGCTTTTCTGAACTGTGCGGGAAGCTGGCATCACCAGCTGGGCCATTCACTGTTTCAGACAGAATCCCAGTTCTCACGGGTCCTGACAGACTCACAGATGCAGCAGGGCATTAAGTGTTCACAGCACATCTCTGAAGCATCCAGAAAGTTCTGGGAGGAAGTGTGCATAGGCAGGACAGGGTTGTACTGTTGTTTGGGTTTCTTGTCTTGTTTTGTTGTGAGACGCAAGAAGAGCAGGCAGGTAAGGAAGGGAAGCAGGAGAAATATATCAGAAACACCTTGGGCAGGCTTCCTAGCAGGTCTAGGGGACATGGATAAGAAGAGAGGGAAGGGGCTGGAGAGATGGCTTAGCAGTTAAGAGCACTGGATGCTCTTCCAAAGGCTCTGAGTTCAATTCCCAGCAACCACATGGTGGCTCACAACCATCTAGAGTGGGGCCTGATGCCCTCTTCTGGTAGAAAGGTGTACATGCAGGTAGAGCACTTGCATATATACAGAGAGAAAGAGACAGAGAGAGAGAGAGAAATATGGGGGAGACTTCGAAAACTCCGGTCTCTGGGAGAAAGGCAGGTCACTGGACTGGACCACGTGTCCTCTAGTTCTCCTGTCACTTCACAGACATCCCGTCTCTGTGAGCTACTGAGCCTGACGTGTCATCTTGGTATCCCCACGTTACAGGTATGAACCTTAATAGCTAGAATCAGACGTTGACCCAGTCCTCGGCTTCACAGCCCTGTCCTAGTGGCGTGATCTGCAGTTCTGCTCCTGAGGAAAGGACACTCTCGGGGGAGGGCTATTGCAGAGGGAGGGGAGCTGGTCTATACTGGCTAGGATTAAGGAAGGCAAGTATTAAAACCACCTCCATCCACTAGGCTCAGGGATGCTGGGAGCCGAGCCAAGCATGCCATATGGAAGGGAGGTCAGCAATGGCTCAGCTAGGACCCCTTTGCCGTTCTTGAACTCAGGGGACTAGGAGCCGAGATCTAGACTATTTCTTCCTGGCTAGAAAGGTCAGATGGAAAGATAGGTTGGCCCTCATCATAAACTGTATCTCTTCGTTGGATCGCAAAACCTTCTCTGACTAGGATTCAGCTGTCCCTTCTCCAGATTGCTGTCCGGGGTTACTCCCCCCTTCCCCCTCCATTTGTCTATACTGTTTTGCCAGCCACTTCTCCGGTTCCTGAGGAATGGAGACCTTTTCATACTTTACTGGTTTCTTACTTGGGTCTTATCTCTTCTTGTCAGATGAGCCCTGTGTTCTCCCTTCAGACTGGAGTCTCAGGGTAGGAGCTGCTTCTCTCACTGGAATGGCTGCTCTTTGCAGAGACTAATGACGCCTCCCCTCTTAAACACAGCCCATGTCCTTTATTGAAGGCCTCAGTCCAGCCACCAGGCGAGGTCCTCATGTGCACCGAGGTCTGTTTTAGTCCCTTTGGGTGGACTGGGGCCTCCAGCTCAGACTCTTAGCCCATCCTGATTCAGCACAAACTGCTCCTCTTCCTTTATCTCTCTCTTAAACAGCCAGCTCCCGTATCTGGGGGGAAGCTTTCCACACTATCCCATGCGAAACTCCACAGAAGCATAATATCTGGCGGGTCACCTGTCCCCGCTACCCAGCTATCTTCTCCCAGAAACCCAGCTTCACCCACCCTCCCCCTCATACACACACTGTCTCACTCACAGGTGTTGTTCAACTATACCAGGGTGGAAATGAACTTGTCCCCTTCGACAGCCTTTGGGCTCCCTTGTCATAGACCACTCCCTTCCCCAACAGCCGCCAATTCCTAACGGGCCACTGGTGACCTCTGACCTTTCTCTGGGAAAAGGAAAGGCAGGTGATTTCCAAGATACCCTGAGCCCAAGGGAAGGAGAAAGCAAAACAAAAGGTATACAACCTGGGAATGGAACAGAAGGAGCAACCAGCAGACCCAGAGGTAGAGACTGACAGTGTCCACAGGGAGCTGAGAAGAAAGAGCAAGACAGAATAGACCCAAGAGGCTCAGGAAAAGCAGCTGGGCAGCCTTGAGGACCCACCATGGGGTGGGAGAAGAACAGAGCACCTGCCCACAAGGCAGAGGGGAAAAGAGGGCCCAAGTAGAAGAGGGGGGTGAGAGAGAAAGGGAGACAGTGGGAGAGAGGCAGCTGACAGGTCGCAGGAGTGCTTGACAGCAGGCTGGCATGGGGAGGCAGTTGTAGAGCCAAGAAGGCCGTGCCCCTCCCATGCCACCAGTCTTAAGCCAGCTCCAGGCTTGGAGAAGTCCGCAGGAGTTTGACAGCCCATCAGAGCCCCACAGAAGATGGGGTTGGGGAACGGCACCCACTCCTATCAGAGTCCCCTCTCCCTAATCAGAGGGCAGAGCTGTTTCTCCAACCCACCGGTCCAACTGCCCGGGTAGGAAGGAGTTAAGGCCTCTCCCCCAGCCCCCACACCAGTTTTTCTTTCTTTTTCTCTTCTTTCTTTTCTTTTTTTAAAATTAATTTCCCTAGGCAGGAGGAAGAGGATTAGGGACACAAATCCTATTTCTGTTCCCTCCCGACAAGCCCAGCTCCCTGGTCCAGTGAGGTCTCCCTAGGGATAGAGGAAGAAAGGCCCTTGTGGCTTAGATTCATCTAGCCCCACTGGGGGGGTCTCACCTTGAGTCAGGTAGTGTCTGGCCCCGCTTCCCCTTCCACCCTAGGAATCCCGGCCCCTCACCTCCAGCATCCGTCATTTTCAGCGTCCAGCGCCCCGGGAACCCCTCAGGCCCATGGTTCTCGAGGCGAGTGCCGGGTGTGAGAGGGGTGGAGGACTTTCAATTCACCCCGGCCGCGGGGGACTTCGGGCTGGCTCGAGTCGCTCCATCCCAGAGTGTTGTGGGGGAATTGGAGGGGAGGGTCCAGCAGGAAAGAATGGAGAGGCGAGGTGTGTAAGGATGCAGGGAGGTCTGCGGGAAGCAGGAGACGCGGGCGGGGCTGGACCGGGAAACCTGACGGGAGGATGTTCCGTGTGTGCGTGCGTGTACGTGTGTGTGTGTGTGTGTGTGTGTGTGTGTGTGTGTGTGAGAGAGAGAGAGAGAGAGAGAGAGAGAGAGAGAGAGAGAGAGAACGAGCGAGCGCCTGAGAACCAGAGCCACCTCCCGCCCCGCCCCCGCCAAGCCCCGCGGATCTTGGACTCTCGCGCCACAGGCCGATTTGTGCAGCGTCGCGAAGGCTAGGTCCGTGGGGGTCGCCTGGAATAATGCAACGCGGGGGGCGCTTGTGGGGATGCCGGTCACCCCGGAGACAAAGAGCGGGAGGGAGGGAGGGAGGGAGGAGGCGGGCGGGCGGGGCGGAGACCGCAAAGACCGAGGGGTGGAGGCAGCGGGTGCCCGCGGCGGGGGCCGGGATCCCAATTGCCCGGCTACTTCTCGGACCGCCGGCGTCGTGGTGCTAGGGAGTCTGCGCGCTAGGAGCGGGAGCGGCAGGGAAGCGACCACGGGGGCGGTCCCGTTTGGGGACGCACGGGGCTTTCTGCCCCTTCTGCAGGGTCTGTGAGGGCTTCTAAGTCTCTGGTTCTTCTATTCAACAAACGTCTGCTGAGCAACCAGCCCGGGCGCTGAAGCTGGAGCGTACCTGTGCTGTAAGGGTTCGGCCAAGTGGGACTTCCCAAGACTGAGAGCTGTGGGTCCCGGAACGAAAAAGACACTTCAAGTTCTGGAGGGGGCGTGCACCCGAGGCACTGGAGTAGGGCACAGGGAGGATTTCTAGAGGTGTGTGGCTACTGCAGGCCAGGCTACACAGGCTACAGGAGACTTACTCATGAGCATTGCTAGATGGATGGACCAATGGGGAAATGAGTTGAGGCTGGAGGGTTGATTCATTCTGCTACCCCGCACTCTCCCCCCCCCAAAAAAAAGGTTAACCGAGGAGGGAGGAGCTTCAACATGCATTTTAGGAAAATTCGTTGGACAGCCCAGTGGAGAACAGACTAACAGACTGCAGGGGGACACCGGAAGTCTGGCACCGGCCTCAAGGGATTGTTGAAAGATGACAGCAGTGGGTATGAAGATTAAAGATCAAGCTGAGAGCAGTTCTGACTATAGAATTGAAGGCATAGACAGGATCTGGAGCCGGCTGGACAAAGAATTGAAAGAAGGAGGGGTCTAGGATGGCTGTGGATCTTGTCTGGGGCCCTGGCAGCTCTGGAGCTAAGGGGTAGGGTTGGGTGGATGAGCTCAGACTTGGACCTGGTGAGTCGGATATGGTGGCAGCTCAAATGTGGTGGCGGCGGCGCTGGATGCCATCACCAGTTAGCTACCCCGCAGCAAGACTTAGGGCGTATTTGGTACCAGGCAACAAGTACCAGGTTCCTCTAAGATACACAGATTCAAAAAGAAAATGGTTTGTTCAAGGGTAGATAACGACCTTGGAGAAGGTCTAGGCACTTAGTGAAATTTATAGGGTCTGGAGAGAACTCCTGGTGGCTCATGGGAATGGGAGACTGCCAAGGGCCTGAGGGCAGCAGCATGTTGAATCAAGTGGTCCGTAGAACAGAGTGGGGATGGTATCAATGGGGTTCAGAGCATCCCAGAGCTCGAGGACCTCTGGGTATCTTCAAAATCTGCTGAAGTCTGGTTAGACGGTAGGTTCACGTGGAGGACATGATGTCTCTGGTGACCACCTATGTAGGCAGGCTCTAGGGCAGTGGTTCTCACACCAATGCTTCAACCCTTTAATACAGTCCCTGATGTTGTAGGGATCCCCAACCATATTGTTTTCATTGCTACTTCAGAACTAATTTTGTTACTGTTATGAATTGTAACTAAATGTAAATAGCTGTGGTTTTGATGGTCTTAGGTGACCCCTGTGAAAGGGTTGTTTGAGGCCCCCAATGGGGTTGTGACCCACAGGTTGAGAACTGCTGCTCTAGGGTCTTTATAGGAGGTGTGTGTTTCAGTGCTGGAATGGGCCTTTTCCTATTCCAGCCTAAGGTGCTGCGATCTGGGGTGGGGGTGGGGACCCATTTACTATCCCTCCTCTGCAGCAAGTGTCAGGGTTGTGACACAGCTGCTCTAGTTCTTACAACTCAGTAGATGATGGTAACAGATGTGATGTTTGAGATGACAAACATCACAGTCTGCCTGCACTACCTGACAGCCCCCCAAATGGACTTGTTCATGGGTAAGCCACAGCTCAGGCCTGCCTGAGAAACTCCCAGAAAAGCCATACACAAGGTCCCCAGGCTTACAACACACTCCTACATAAACATCAAGTGCTACTCAACCACTCCTTGGAACATCTCGGAGGGGGCCCCTCCTCACATAGCATCCAGGGTAGGTACGGGATACTGGCCTTCCACGTTAGACACTTGGACTGTCAGACTAGAAGCTCTTACCTCAAGTCCATTTGTCTTCCCCACCCAGGAAGCTCCAACCGCTTCATTTCTTGGCAAGGTTTCCCGAACAGGGACTTCTAACCTAGGCATGATGACCTGAGACCTCATTTAGGGAATCTGTCATGGAATTCAGGCCCTCCAGAATCTACCTGCAGCATTCCCAGGGTCCCCAATGTGCCAAGGATGATGTGAGGACAGGAAATGCCCTGCGAGGCCACCACCATTGCCAGTTTTCTGACTGTAAGGTAGGTGTCAGAGATGGACAGGACTTGTATGGCCCTGAGGTTGCAGAACCAGTTTTGAGGGTAGTCAACAGGAAGCCACTATGTGGCTCTACACAAGTTCTGTGACAGAATTACCCGCTAGGAAATGGCTGCCTCGGGCTGTTCCTGAGTTCTAGAGACCACTCATCTCTGGTGTTGTCAGGGGTGAAGCAAAGTGACCCAAGAGCCTGGAGATTGGGACTTTTGTTTCTTATTGGAAGAAGCGAAGATGAGAGTCCCCCAGGGTTCAAGTTACTAAAGCACAAGATTTGCCTCCCAGCTCCTGTGCAAGAAAAGTGTGCTGTCTACTGTGGGGCTAGGTGCATTCGCTTCTGGGACGCACCCAAACTTCTTCCTGGAACTGGGAGCTAGCTAATAGGGCAGCTAGGACTACAGGAGACCTCTCAAGCCAGCCCAGGCCAAAGAACCTTCTCTGTGACCTTGGGGACAACAGTGCTCTGAAAGCTATCTTCTAGGTCACCCAAGAACTCTTTGGTCCTCCTGGTACTTCATAGGAGACCTCTGGGGTCTTACAGACTGCTTAGTTCTCAGTAGGCAGTTCCTTTTCAGTCTATCCTCTCTCTGGCTTGCTCTAAAAACCTTGTGAAAGGAAGACCAGAAAAACCTGTCTAGAGACCCTATGAAACCTGGGCAATGGTGGCAAGTGAGTTTGCTAAGACTGGGGTTGGAGATCTGAACCGGCATTGAGATCCTCTCTAGGTCCTGGGCAAAACTAGAAAAAGGAGACCTTCTGATATTCCTCCCCTTTCCCCCTCCAGCGCATCAAAAAACCAGGCAGCAAGGCTCTGGGGGCTGCTTTTATGGGGACGACCTGACAGAGGGCATGGTCCGTACAAAACCAGGAACAATACATACATATATATATATTATATACAGAGACGGGGTCCTCCAAGGGCGGGGCAAGAGCGCTGCCGGTCAAAACCGGAAGTACATCGAGAACTCGCCCACCCGGCTCCGCCCCCTCCATCTGCCTGGGTGAAGTGCAGGGGCCGGGCACTGTGACAGCCAGCTCTTTCTGGGAGTGGGGGAACGTCTGGGGGGCGGAAGAGAGGCAAGAAATACTGATTGATGGTATGGTCTATTTACAGGGTCTAGAAGAAGCCAAAAAGGATAGAACCGGATTGTTAAAAAAAAAAAAACCCAAAAAAACAACAAACAGAAACCTAGGCTTGGGGCAGGGGTTGTGGAAGTGGCAAAATGAGATGGATTTTGAAAGGGGAGGGTACCTGAGAGGGTCTCACCTCCCTTGGTCCAAGCCCCAATTTGGGGTTAAAGTGGGGAAACTGAGTCAATTTCACTTAGAAAGCAGGCTGACAGCAAGCAGCCCTGGTCTCCAAAAAGATTAGTAAAATTTTACCCTCCAGTGATAACATTGGAAAATGGTGGGGAAGGGGAGGGGAGGCTGAGTCTCTTTGATGGTAATACAAGGCTTCCAGGTGTGGCCCTGAGCAGGGCCTAGCTCCCCAGCGAGAGCTCCGCAGGCACACCACCTAAGCTGACCTCCCTCCCTCCTGGCATTCCTAGGCTAGACCAAGGAAACCTGAGCCCGAGTGGCCTCAGGACAGTTCCAGGAGGAGGCTATGGCTATTTGGCACCTGGGGAAGGGGAGGCACAAGGAGAAGTTGAGGGCTGTTGCCCTTCCTAGGAAAGGGACTGGATTTTGGACTCATCCTTTTCCCTACTCCAGCACTACCCTCCCACCAAGGATACGAGAAATCAGTGCAGGACCAGGCCCAGCCTCTGGCTCAAGGGTGGGCTCTATCCCTCCTGGGATGGGGAGCAGGGGTGGGAGATGTTGAGGCCAGAATGCAACAGACAGCACAATAGAGGGAAGAGGAAAGGGCCAAGAAAGTCGAATCTCAAGTCAAGAGGCCCAGGGGCCACATGGACCTTGTGGGCAGGGAGCAGCCTCCAAGTGGTGAGATGCTGGGAGAGCCCCAGCTCCACTCCGGTCCAGAGACACAGGCTGGAGGTTGTAAAGTCTGGCAGTTTGGTCTGCAGGCCCTTGTGTCCATCCACCACCCAGGTCAGCTCTCAGCTTCTCTCGGCCTCTGTACCTCAGCCCCGTAGAACAAGGAGGCCACTCTTCCAGCCACCATTGTCTGCCCGGGCCACCCTAAAGGGGCCTGTGATATGGGCCCTCTGGTCCCTGAAGCTGGGGGAGGTGGGGTGGAGGAGTGGGGGAAGTCGGGGCACCTGTCCCCAGGCTGGTAGGGGCGGGGTGGGGATTGAGGACAGGGGGTGTGGATAATGGGAGTGGATTATTATTGTCCAGTCAAGGAGCGATTCCTGTTAAGTAGAATTAGAATTCCTCAGGGTTTGCAGGTTTCCTTCCAGTTCTGAGATCTAAAAAACAGAGAGGGGATATCAGGCTTGGCCACTGAGCATGCGTCCTGCCCCTAACCCCCAGCTCTGACCCCAGCAACACAATCCTTCCCAAACATCAACAGAGTGGTCTCCTTTGGTTCTGGCGTCTATGCTGCTCCCTCTGGAGGCTACCCAAGGCACCCAGGCTCTACCTTGTCTAGAAGCTTGTCCATTTCCTCCTTCCTAGCTAGCTCCGACTCTTCCAGTACCCGACGCTGGGCAGTCTCTTTTTTCAGGAACTCGATCTCCCTGGAGACAGGCAGGGAGGGAAGAGATAATGGGTTAGGGTT